ATCAAATGCCCACAAGAGAAAGCAGGAAAGATCTAAAATTGACATCCTAACATCACAATTAAAAGGACTAGAGAAGCAAGAGCAAGCACATTCAAAAGCTAGCAGAAGGCAAGAAATAACTAAGATCAGAGCAGAACTGAAGGAGATAGAGACACAAAAATCCCTTCAAAAAATCACTGAATCCAGGAGGTGTTTTATTTTCAAAAGATCAATAAAATTGATAGACCGCTAGCAAGACAAAGAAGAAAAGAGAGAAGAATCACATAGACTCAATAAAAAGTGATAAAAGGGATATCACCACCGATCCCACAGAAATACAAATTACCATCAGAGAATACTATAAACACTTCTATGCAAATAAACTAGAAAATCTAGAAGAAATGGATACATTCCTGGACACACACACCCTCCCAAGACTAAATCAGGAAGAAGTTGAATCCCTGAATAGACCAATAACAGGTTCTGAAATTGAGGCAATAATTAATAGTCTACCAACCAAAAAAAGTCCAGGACCAGATGGACTAAGAGCCAAATTCTCTCAGAGGTACAAAGAGGAGCTGGTACCATTCCTTCTTAAACTATTCCAATCAATAGAAAAAAAGGGAATCCTCCCTAACTCATTCTATGAGGTCAGCTTCATTCTGATACCAACACCTGGTAGAGACATAACAAAAAAGAGAATTTTAGGCCAATATCCTTGATGAACATCAATGTGAAAATCTTCAATAAAATACTGGCAAACTGAGTCCAGCAGCACATCAAAAAGCTTTTCCATCACGATCAAGTTGGCTTCATCCATGGGATGCAAGGCTGGTTCAACATATGCAAATCAATAAACGTAATCCATCACATAAACAGAACCAATGAAAAAAATCACATGATTATCTCAATAGATGCAGAAAAGGCCTTCGACAAAATTCAACAGCCCTTCATGCTAAAAACTCTCAATAAACTAGGTATCGATGGAATGTATTTCAATATAATAAGAGCTATTTACAACAAACCCACAGTCAATATCATACTGAATGGGCAAAAACTGGAAGCATTCCCTTTGAAAACTGGCACAAGATGGGGATGCCCTCTCTCATCACTCCTATTCAACATAGTGTTGGAAGTTCTGGCCAGAGAAATCAGGCAAGAGAAAGAAAAATAAAGGGTATTCAATTAGGAAAAGAGGAAGTCAAACTGTCTCTATTTGCAAATGACATGATTGTACATTTAGAAACCCCCCTTGTCTCAGCCCAACATCTCCTTAAGCTGAGAAGCAACTTCAGCAAAGTCTCAGGGTACAAAATCAATGTGCAAAAATCATAAGTATTCCTATACTCCAATAACAGACAGCCAAATCATGAGTGAATTCCCATTCACAATTGCTACAAAGAGAATAAAGTACCTAGGAATACAACTTACAAGGGATGTGAAGGACCTCTTCAAGAACTACAAACCACTCCTCAATGAAATAAAAGAGGACACAAACAAATGGAAGAACATTCCATGCTCATGGACAGGAAGAATCAATATCGTGAAAATGGCCATATGGCCCAAAGTAATTTATAGAATCAATGCTATCAAGCTACCAATGACTTTCTTCACAGAATTGGAAAAAACTACTTTAAATTTCATATGGAACCGAAAAAGAGCCCACATTGTCAAGACAATCCTAAGCACAAAGAGCAAAGCTGGAGGCATCATGCTACCTGACTTCAAGGCTACAGTCACCAAAACACAGCATGGTACTGGTACCAAAACAGATGTATAGACCAATGGAACAGAACAGAGATCTCAGAAATAACACCAAACATCTACAAACCATCTGATCTTTGACGAATCTGACAAAAACAAGAAATGGGGAAATGATTCCCTATTCAATAAGTGATGCTGGGAAAACTGGCTAGCCATATGTAGAAAGCTGAAACTGGATCCCTTCCTTACACCTTATACAAAAATTAAATCAAGATGGATTAAAGACTTAAATGTAAGACCTAAAACCTTAGTAACCCTAGAAGAAAACCTAAGCAATACTATTCAGGACATAGGCATGGGCAAACACTTCATGACTAAAACACCAAAAGCAATAGCAACAAAAGCCAAAATAGACAAATGGGATCTAATTAAACTAAAGAGCTTCTACACAGCAAAAGAAACTATCAGCAGAGTGAACAGACAAGCTACAGAATGGGAGAAAATTTCTACAATCTATGCATCTGACAAAGGGCTAATATCCAGAACCTACAAAGAACTTAAACAAATTTACAAGAAAAAATCAAACAACCCCATCAAAAAGTGGGTGAAGGATATGAACAGACACTTCTCAAAAGACGACATTTATGCAGCCAACTGACATATAAAAAATGCTCATCATCACTGGTCATTAGAGAAATGCAAGTCAAAACTATAATTGTATAGCCTCTCATGCCAGTTAGAATGGTGATCATTAAAATGTCAGGAAACAACAGATGCTGGAGAGGATGTGGAGAAACAGAAATGCTTTTACACTGTTGGTGGGAGTGTAAATTAGTTCAACCATTGTGGAAGACAGTGTGGCAATTCCTCAAGGATCTAGAACTAGAAATACCGTTTGATCCAGCAATCCCATTACTGGGTATATACCCAAAGGATTATAAATCATGCTACTATAAAGACACACGCACATATATGTTTATCACAGCACCAGTCACAATAGCAAAGACTTGGAACCAACCCAAATGTCCATCAGTGATAGACTGGATAAAGAAAATGTGGCACATATACACCATGGAATACTATGCAGCCATAAAAAGGGATGAGTTCATGTCCTTAGTAGGGACATGGATGAAGCTGGAAACCATCATTCTCAGGAAACTATCACAAGGACAGAAAACCAAACACTGCATGTTCTCACTCATAAGTGGGAGTTGAACAATGAGAACACATGGACACAGGGAGAAGAACATCACACATAGGGGCCTGTCAGAGGGTGGGGGGCTGGAGGAGGGATAGCATTAGGAGAAATACCTAATGTAAATGACGAGTTGATGGGTGCAGCACACCAACATAGCACATGTATACCTATGTAACAAACCTGCACGTTGTGCACATGGACCCCAGAACTTAAAGTATAATTAAAAAAACATAGTATATCTGAGTAAGTTTGAGTTCCTAATTACTGTGATTAAGAATTCAAAATGGGCCGGGCGCGGTGGCTCAAGCCTGTAATCCCAGTACTTTGGGAGGCCGAGACGGGCGGATCACGAGGTCAGGAGATCGAGACCATCCTGGCTAACACGGTGAAACCCCGTCTCTCCTAAAAAAAATACAAAAAACTAGCCGGGCGAGGTGGCGGGCGCCTGTAGTCCCAGCTACTCAGGAGGCTGAGGCAGGAGAATGGCGTGAACCCGGGAGGCGGAGCTTGCAGTGAGCTGAGATCGCGCCACTGCACTCCAGGCTGGGCGGCAGAGCGAGACTCCGTCTCAAAGAAAAAAAAAAAAAAATAAAAAATCAAAAAAAAAAAAAAAAAAATTCAAAATGCAAAGAAAAAAAAAAAAGAATTCAAAGTGTTATTTTGTTTAATAATTCAATTTACATAACATACAAAGTAGCTGTTTATCCTGTTTTCATTAGCCTTAACATATTGGCTACAACTTTTACCTGTGGAAGGAACACTTTCTCTAATGTTAATGAAAATACCATATGGCTAACAGTGGTCTTGCTTCAGACTTTCTGCCAGCTAATCCCTTGGTGTCCTTCGATCTCTAGCTGGGGACTGCAGGATCCTACCCATTTTCCTTTCCCTTTGTGGGCTGCCACTGCCCGCTTTATCACTTGGGTTTCTTCTCTTCCATGTCTGGTCTTCAGAGTGAGACAGTCTCCTCAGTTCTCCCTAATGTGCTGTTCTAAAGATAAACCGTTATCATTTTAAGGACTTAATCATGACTGCAAAAGATCCAAAGTCATAAATAAAAATTTCAGACTTATAAGGTAGTGTCTGTCATTGTCATCAACTAGAATTCCCAGTCCCCTTGCTAGATGTCTGTCTCTGAGGTCCTCACCCAAGATTCCCCACCCTATGGAAAATGGAGCTCACTCAGCATGTCTCCCTCAGATGCTGGCAGCCATATGAGGTGTGGGGTCTAGCAGATGTCTCCCCAGCTTTTGTCCCTGAAGTGTGATTTGGGCTGGTCAGTGTATAGAACAGAGTGGATACCCAAGTATCTTCTCAAGAGAGAATGGTACTTTCCAAGACCTCTGGCCTGAGCATTCCCCATCCAGGGGGCTGCAGCTCAGGTACCCCTGACTGAGCCAGACTGGAAAGTCTTATGCATCAACTGCTTCAGAGAAGAGACAGTGATTCTTGGAGACTGGAGTTGAGGATTGAGGGCCACTGTCAGGAATGGGTGAGGAGAGGAGAGCCTTGGTTTGTTTCGGGCGAAGAGTTTGAAGTTGAGATGAGGTGGTGGATGAATGGGCATGATAGCTATGGGGTCAGAATAAGTTCTAGTGATGACATATTGCTAGCTGCCTCCTGGGAATGTGCCTTTCCATTTCTGTCCCTTTCTCCTGCCCCTGCTGGTGACTCCAGTGGAAACTGGAACAGATAGATCTTCATTGGTAAGAAGTTCCCAGATGTCAGGGACAGAACCCCCGAGACCCCAGGTCTACAGGCACAAGGGCTGGGGATGAGGAAGGAACTCAGAGAGTGTTGGGCAATCACGCCCTTTCCCAGGGAGGAGCTACCTGGGCTTATTCACAGGGCGGGTCCCCAGGAGCTTTCAGGCTGAGTCTGTTCCCACTTAAGTTTCTCTGGGTGCTGTAAACGGAGCTGGCTTGGAGCCTTAGCCCTCGGCCTTTCTCTCCTCTTCCATCTTTTGTTAGGGATCTTGGGTTCTCCTCTTCTCTCTGGGAAGCCAGAGCCCAAGTGCTCCATTCCCAGGGAGGGAGTGCCCTCTAGGGCCAGGGAGAGTGAAGGCCGGAGGAGGCACCAGCTGGAGAAGAAGGGCAGGGCCTGGAGGCCAAGTCTCGAAGGGAAGGAGCTGCTGGCCAATCAGGGGCGAGCCGACTGCACTCTGACCTGCTGGGCTGGGACAGCACAGAACCTACAGGTATCTGTGAGTTTGAGTGTGAGTCTGTTTCTTTAGAAGCCCTCTTCCAGCAATGGGACTGAAGTCTATAGGGTTAAAATGTGCACATGATAGGGAAACCCTGATTTCCCTTATGGAACTCTTTCTCCAAATAAGAAAAGTCTCTTCATTCTAAATTCTTCTAAATGAGTTTGGTTTCATCATTCCTGGATCTTTCTTGGCAAGGCTGTGGGTTCTGGGGTTACCTCTACCCAATTTGTTTCCTTTCTGTAGAGCCCTAAATTCTTATCTATTATGTCTCACTTGTCTCCTGCTCTAATGCTTCTTTAAGTATATAGGATGCACAACAATGTGAACCAAGGTTGTAAATCCTTGGCTGTAGCTTATCCTGCCATCTTAGTGTTTGCAGTTCATGGTGTGGATTGGAGACACTATCAGTTCTGTCTCTGGCAAGGTCAGGGACTGGGCTGAAGCCTTGATATTTTGGATGTATGATATGACAAGCTCGGGGCAGGATTTGCCATACTGACATTACATGGTTGTGGAAGCACCATGATTAAATGACCAGGGTCCAAACCAGAATTGATAGTGGCTTCCAGAAACTTTGCAGGAGATCAGCTCCTAACAGGGCTTCAATCTTGGGAAAGTGAATCCTTACCTCTCATTTAACTAACAAGTCAGGCTGAACATTTTCCCTCATATTTATTAGGTGCCTGCCTCATTTGTAATTGGCTCATTTTGTCTTCACTGCAGTTTTCCCGAATGAATGGAATCCTGGATGTTATCTGCTAAGTGGTTGCTTGTCCTGACCCAGGAAGCTTCTACATGCTCTACTCTTAAGATGTGGTTTTAAAATTTTTCCATCTGGGGACTACTGATTGCAGTTTAAAAACCCTGGATGGCAATGATCTATCCTATTTGGTTTCAAACTCCACTTTATAGTTTCTCAGTAGGAAAATTGGGGGGAAAGTTGATGTTTTGGGTGGTAGCTCATAGAGCTAAAGTTTCAGTCTGACTGAGGATGAGTAAGCAATTCACTTCAACCTGAAAGAGCAGGAAAGATTCCTGGAGCTGGAAAAGACTATAGTGATCCCATAGTTCATCCTCGGGCCCACACTGAGAACGTCCATCATCAGAATCTCAAGCAGGTTGTGAAGTTTCAGGCAGAGGCTCTGGAGTCAGCCAGACCTGGGTATGAATCTGGCTCTGACCCTATTAGCTGGGAAACTTAGAACAAGTGACTCAAACTCTCTGAGGCCCAGTGTTCTGATGATAAGTGCGGGTCTCATAGGTCATTGTGAGACTACTTAGTGAATATCCATGGAGTCCTCAGCAAAAACCTCGGAACACAGAATGCAGTCAGTAAGTGGTAGCTGTTATTATGATTCTCACTAAAGAAGAGGTTAGTCAAGCATCTGTCAGGGATCTTTGCAGAGAAGAGGACTGAATTGAATGACTTTACGTACCTGAGACTCTCAAATGGTGCAGGGGAGAAAGCCAAGCCTGCTTCTGCTTGTAGTTCACTCCATCTGAGCCTCAATGTTCTTACCTATAAAAATGGGATTAAATACGAAATTGCACCACTAGATATGAAAATACATACACAGGATTTTTTCATAACAGCTCCCTTGAGGATTTTAGAAATGGTTATTTTCTACCCTGAAAGGCCTAAGATCAGGCACTGGGCTTCTATGAGGAACCAGGAGTTGCCCAGGGCAACAGGAAGTGGATGGGGAGTGGGGTGGCTAGACATAGGCATTAGTGTCCTCACATTTATTGGGCACCTGATGTATTCAAGGGGTCCTGAGAAGCCTGAGCCAGGTGCTGGCCTTCAGGAAGCCACAGGATGGTAGGGGAGGCAGACAGCGGTTGCCACATAGTAGGTGGGTGCTTCACTTGCAGAGTTAGCATGGTTGTGTTAGCTGTTAGCCTTTCTTCCAGGGCCGCCGTTCACACTCTCCTGGTCAGAGTCCTGGGACCACATGCGGATGCTGCCGTGGCTTCTTGCCTTCTCCATTCTGGGTCTCCAGGCTTGGGGTAAGTTTTCTTTACTTGTGTCAGAAGTGCTTTTGATGAGCAAGAGAAAACCGTTCTCAAGTTTAATAACAGAAACCCATCCAAGTGCTTTCCCTTTGCTAGTGGATAGTGTAGATTTGCAATTTGGAGCCCTGTTCTAGAGTTTACAATTTTTGTTCAAATCCTTGCCTGCCCTTTGTTATGGTCTTCAACAAGTTATTCAATTTCTTTGAATCGTATTTGTTCCCATGATAAAAGGATAATATTGCTCATTTCTTAGGGTTGTTTTTGAGGATTAAATTAGTTCACAAGTGTGTGCCATTAAGCACAAGTAGTAAGTGCTGGGTAATTTGTAGCTATGATTTAATTTTTATCACCATCATTATTATACCAATCATAGTTAAACCCAGCACTTGGGTCTACATTTGTAAATAAAAGCAAATTCCCCAAGAGTAGCAATGCCCTTTCTCTAGATTAAGAAGATTTCTTATCATTTTATACATAACAGTAGACACATAGCAATGTTCAATAAACAAATGCTGTTGAATTAAAACGAAAGTGAGCTTGGTGATTCTTAAATATGACATGTTTTTCAGTTTGTCTTACATACGCAGTCCCCTTTCTGAAGGAATAATGTAATATAGCTTTCTTTCTGTCCTCTGCTACTCAGACAGCAAATTTAATGGGATTACCTGGAGTTAGTGCTGGAGAAACTCACAGGTCAGGGAACACACAGTTCAGCCTTTCATTGTATGAATGGAGAAGCTGAGGCCCTGATGGGGAAATTAACTTGCCCAAGCAAGATGGGGAGTTGTGTGTGGTTCTCATCCCTGTCTCCTGGTTCCTGCCCTGCCCCGTCCTGCCTGCCAAGTATCAGTGCTGGCCTGCAGGCTGCTCTTCCACTCTGAGAGTCCTCTGGGTTTCATTTGCAAAGTGTCCTCTCCAGGCTCCGCCTTCCCCCCTCCCCAGTCCTCTGTATCCCCTTCACAGCCCAGCTCAGGCCCTCTGCCTGCTGAGGTGGGCTCCCGTCCTCAGCAGTCTCTCTAGCACACCTTGGCCTTGGTGTCCTGGTCATGTATTTGCTCTTGATTTCACAGAAAGACAGAATCCCAGAACCATGGTGGAGACCCTCGATGACTTTGTCTTGTAGGAAGAGAAACAGGTCACATTGTGGTAGTGACTAACCCAAGTTCATCTGACAACTTTGGGGAGGCTGCAGAGTACAGTTGTTATGAACACGGGCTTCGGGGTTAGAGATTCTGATTGGAATCTAAATCTACGCTTAAAACCTCTGTTATGTTAGACAAGTTACCTAACTTCCCTAAGACTTGGTTTCCCTTTTGTATAGAGATCATAGTTGCTTTGCTTAACTCATGAAGTTGTTTTAAGCCACAATTCTGATAGCGTCCTTAGACATGCTTTGTAATCACAGGGCTGGTCTGTGGGAGGTGGGGCTGGTGACAATGTCACTGCTGCCACTGGCCACTGCTCCCAGGATCCCTCATACTGAATGGGAGCAGTGGGGGATAAGGACAGGCTGGCAGTGGCTAATCCACAATAAAGCATCTCTGAAACGTCTAGTTTTTGAAGGCAGTCACAATGATCTGTATATTTCTGTTTCAAGAACCTTGTCTGGCACCAATAGGTGATTAAGACATGTGTGTTAGCTCAACATGTCACAACCATCTTGGTATGTGACACTCTGCTGGGTACCCATGGTTTGATTAGTAGGTCTCCAGGTGAACCAGGAAAGGTAGCACTGCCCAGATAAGGCAGCAGGTGAGACTGCAGTGTTCCTGGAATGGAGGGAGGCTGGGGGAGGTGGGAGGAAAAGGCCTCTCTGGGAAGATATGGAAGGCAGAGTCAGTCTGAGGCCAGAGACTTCTGTGGTTCTCCTCTGTGTGCTCCCTAGAGGGCCTTGGGTGACCTGGGGAGGAGGAGAGGCTATGCACTGCGGAGTGGGATGTCTGGCTCAGCCTCTGAGCTTGCTGGCCACGTGCACTCCAAGGAGTGCACCAATGCACCAGTGCTATCTTGCAGGGGATTTTCTACAGTTCTCCTGGAATGAGACCCAAGTCAGAGGCTTGTCCCAGAGGCTTATGGACCTGTTTGTCAGGATCTCACAGTTCATTCACAAGGGTCTCAATGGTGAGGCAGTTTGAAGATTGGCTGGGGCTTCTTAAGTGGTCAGAAATGTTTCTCAGGACTTGATAATGTCTAGACTAAGAGTGAATGGGGTGGGGAGGAATCCCAAGATGTTCATCTCCAACCACTCCCTTGGATCATCCTGAGTCCTTAGGCAAAGGGGAGTTCCTCAGCCTAAGGAGAGAAAAAGAAGAGAAACTCAGATGAAAAAAGAGAGAAGGAGGCTGGGCGTGGCGGCTCACGCCTATAATCTCAGCACTTTAGGAGATCGAGGAGGGTGGAGCACGAGGTCAGGAGATCGAGACCATTCTGGCTAACACTGTGAAACCCCGTCTCTACTAAAAATACAAAAAAGTAGCCCACCATGATGGCATGCGCCTGTAATTCCAGTTACTAAGGAGGCTGAAGCAAGAGAATCGCTTGAATCTGGGAGGTGGAGGCTGCAGTGAGCCGAGATTGTGCCACTGCACTGCAGCCTGTACTAGGGAGCAAGACTCCATCTCAAAAAAAAAAAAAAAAAAAAAAAAAGAGAGAGAGAGAGGGAGAAAAAACCCAGAGAGAAAAGATATGTCCTCCACTTTCAGCTCCAGCATGACAGTGTCTCAACTGTCCCTCAGCGTGCTCCTGGGGCTCCTATGATGAGGATGGAGAAAGGGAGCCCTCAGGTAGCCTGCAGCCGCGGGTGGGATCTCACAGCCCTGCCACTAGGGAGTGTTCGCCCGGAAGAAAGAGGCGCAGACACCGTGTTCATGGAGCCTCCTGTGAGCTCTGGAGCCGCTTGTTGAGGAGACTGATAGAGCTTCCTTCAGAGACTCACAGTTCTTAGGGGAGGGGAAGACAAGAGACACAGTTGAGACTGGGGCCAACGCCAGTGAGGACGATACATCCTCAGGCTTCCTGGCTAAGGAGGCAGCTGAGAGCCCCAGGGTGGACGGCGGGGTTGGCTGGGGTGCTTTCTGAAGGAGGGAAGCATGTAGGCCAGGGGGCAGTAGGGGATGAGATTTGCCCTTCAGGGAAAGACAAGGAGAGATTGTCTGGGAACAAGGTGGCATGACTTCCCAGGCTGAGTGCTGCGTGTGTCTGGGCAGTGGTTCAGCCACAGTGGACAGGAGGGGGCTGTGGGGGTGAAGAGCTCCCCCAGGGTGTCTCCCATGCGCAGGGCAGGCTGGGCCTGAGTGTGAGAGGTCAGGGCACATGGACGACCTGTTGGGGGAAGATGGGTAGGGCCTGCCATGTGACATTCTGTGGTCTTCCCTACAGATACTCCCACTGTCGTCTCCCGCAAGGAGTGGGGGGCAAGACCACTGGCCTGCAGGGCCCTGCTGACCCTGCCTGTGGCCTACATCATCACAGACCAGCTCCCAGGGATGCAGTGCCAGGAGCAGAGCATTTGCAACCAGATGCTGCGGGGGTTGCAGTCCCATTCCATCTACACCATAGGCTGGTGCGACGTGGCATACAAGTAAGAGGCTAGTCAAGTCCCCGAGGCCCGCATCCAAAGTCACCCCTCTTGGGGTGCTTCCCACTTCCCCTTCTCTGTGTCTCTTATTTTCTGGGCTTCATTTATGTTGCTTTTGTAATGAATAAAAGTGGTAAAAGGGAAATCAAACAAAATCTGAATCTTCCGGGGATTGTAAGGGGGATGACTCTAAGCCACTTATTTAAGTGGCTTTCGATTCTGGCGCTCCTGTGAAAAAGCAAGGAAGGTTATGTAACAACTGCAGTTTTAACTGAGCCCTTGGAACTCATGAAACATTACAGTTTACAGAGGTCTTCACAAATATCACCCAATTTGGCCCTCCCAGCTACTCTGAGAAATGAGTTCCTACCCTTATTTCATGGGTGACAAAGCCATGGTTCAGGGGAATTAAAATCTCTGCTCAGAGCGAGGAAGCATGTACCCAGAGCTGTGTCAGGGTGCCTGCCAGTGCAGCCCCCGCTCCTCCTCACCTCACAGGGACTCGCACCTGGGAAGCAGTGCCTCACTCGTTACCCTGAAGGGCCACTCTGACAGCGAGTCTGGTGACCCCACAGGGGAGAGTGGGCGTTGGGAATGGCGGGGAAGAGAGCCCCACGAGGAAACAAGGGAAGGCATGAAGGAGCTGTGCACTGTGCATTGAGTATCTGCTCTGGGGATCATCAGTGGAAGCCCAGAACCTTTTCTCCCTTAGCCTCAGGAATGAGGAGACACATGTAGAAGGAGAGGGAAAGACAGAGTGGGAATGGGGCTGTCCCTCATGGAACTCTAAAGACAAACATAAATAATTTCTGAATTATCCATTTTGGAAAGGAAAACCTAAGTCTATTTATTTATTTATTTATTTATTTATTTATTTATTTATAAACACAAATAAATAAGAGCAGCCGCAGGCCCTGGTTGTGGCCCCCAGCACCCCTGGGATGGCTGGGTCTTCCCTGTCTGCCCACCGTGTGTGCTGTGTCAACCACGACTCACCTGTTGCCCCTGCCACCAGCACCTCCACCATCCTGCTGTTGTCGCTGCTGTGTTGTCTGGTTTGGTCACTGTATTCCTAAGTTATTTCAGCCACTGCGTCTCTAAGTCAGGTTTCTGCAGTGACCATTTGACAATCTCCAGTTTTTTTTTTTTTTGAGACGGAGGCTCGCTCTGTTGCCCAGGCTGGAGTGCAGTGGTGCGATCTCCACTCACTGCAAGCTCCGCCTCCCAGGTTCACGCCATTCTCCTGCCTCAGCCTCCCGAGTGGCTGGGACTACAGGTGCCCGCCACCTCGCCCGGCTAATTTTTGTATTTTTAGTAGAGACGGGGTTTCACCATGTTAGCCAGGGTGGTCTCGATCTCCTGACCTCGTGATCTGCCCGTCTCGGCCTCCCAAAGTGCTGGGATTACAGGCGTGAGCCACCGCGCCCGGCTGACAATCTCCAGTTTTTGCAATGCAGCTGACAGTAGCTGTCAGGGACTGTTCACACCAGACTAACCACAGGCTGCTGTAAGAGTGACCAAGGAACCTGTGGAAGTACTGACAGCAAAGCCAGGGAAGGGGTGGACACACCAGACTCCACACCCATTCCTCAGGTCAGCATCGGTGTAGGGTGGATAGTCGGTCTGACTCAGTTCAGCGTCTTTCCTTGACCTCAGGGAGGTGTTCTTTCTGTGTTCAGTTTGCTGTGGAAACTCACGTTCTATTAGAATATGAACAAGGCAAAGTTGTGAAAACATCAGTTCTGAAGACTGATTGGAAAGTGGAGGAGAGAAATTATAAAGAGGCAGGAATAGAAGAAGTAGAATAAAAAATGTATTTGAGTTAAAAAATAAATGTTAAAAAGGAACATTCTAAACAAATTTCTATGGTAAAGAAAAGCTTAAGGAAATTCCTAAAGGGAATCTGAAGAAAAACATCAATACAAAAGGAACTATTGAATCTGGCATAATTGTTTAAGAGAATGTTCAAGTGCTTGGTCCCTTAATTTAAAAACATGATGTATTAATTCTTAAGCTCTTGAAAAGTGTTGGACTAATGTCCTTAGGTCCTTGTGTGTCACACAGTCAAATTCCACTTTGAACAAAATGAGTATTTTTAAAGTGAGGTTCTGGAAAATACGTGTAAGCTAAATTACAACAAAAATTAAAATATATTCCCATGTCTCTTGGAGGTCTAAAACTGGTTATTCTGCACCTCCCATTGTTATGTTATTGGAACATAGTACTTATTTATGAGCCTCCAGAATCCCTTTTCCTTTTGAGGATCAGTGAGAGGTTTTCATTTATGGGGATTTGCCAATAAACCCATTATTTCCTTCTTGTCAGCTTCCTGGTTGGGGATGATGGCAGGGTGTATGAAGGTGTTGGCTGGAACATCCAAGGCTTGCACACCCAGGGCTACAACAACATCTCCCTGGGCATCGCCTTCTTTGGCAATAAGATAGGTAAGAGTCACTCCCTGTGGACCCTGTGCTGGAGAGTTGTGTACACTCTCTTCCTCCACTCCCAAGGCTCAGTGCTTATCTTTTCACCCTACATCATGCTTACCTTATCTGATGATTGCCCTTCTCGTGAAGTTCTTTTCTCCTTTGAATTCTGTGACATGCCTACTTTTTGTCCTCTGCCTCTCTTTACTGGTCTGTACTCCTGTGATATTGCCGAAGCCAGCATGGGCATTGCTTGAGCTCACAGTTATTGCCATCGCTTGTAAAGTCTGAGGTTGTCTGACATAGATGCTGTGACTGCACAGGCAGAGAAGCATGGCTCATCTCTTCTTCTAGTTTCTTCCATTGGTAGAAACTGACCAGAAGGCAGCAGTCAAGGAAATCTGGAGCTATAATTTTTTTTTTTTTTGGAGACGGAGTCTCGCTCAGTCGCCCAGGCTGGAGTGCAGTGGCGTGATCTTGGCTCACTGAAAGCTCCGCCTCCCGGGTTCATGCCATTCTCCTGCCTCAGTCTCCCAAGTAGCTGAGACTACAGGCACCCGCCGCCACGCCCAGCTAATTTTTTGCATTTTTAGTAGAGACGAGGTTTCACCATGTTAGCCAGGATGGTCTCGATCTCCTAACCTCGTGATCCGCCTGCCTCGGCCTCCCAAAGTGCTGGGATTACAGGCGTGAGCCACCACGCCCGGCCTGGAGCTATAATTTGCAGGCTTCTAGCCCCTAGAAAAACAGAGAAAAGCACAGAACAGGGATGGAGTTGAGAAATAATACGTACAGAACCAGCACCTGCCAGCATCCTCATTTGACAGCTGGGGCTAGGTAACAGCATTTCTCTCAGAGGTTTTCTGTGAGACTTATGAGTTAACAGATATAAAGAGCCTACTGCATACCTCATCAGGGGAGCTATGAGTAAATTCTGGTTGCCTTTTCTCCTGTGCTAGTACACACCTGACTTGGTCAGGTGGGCCTCCCTCTGCATGTATCCTTCACTGACTTCCAGGTCTTCTGCCTAGAGATGGAGTGGATAAAGTCTTAGCTTGACTCTTGGAAGAAGTTGTCAGCCTTGGCTGCTGAGAGATCTAGGTAGTTTCTTGCCTCTTAGGCCCTCTGTTCTGGCAACTGAATCAGTTTCCTCTCTTCCAATCCAGTTATTCAAGCTCAAGTGGTCATATCATCCTTCCTTCAGGTATCTGGTCCAGGTGAAGTTTCTTACATTTCTGTACTCCCTGTCCTCCTCTTTAAGGCAGCAGTCCCAGCCCTGCTGCCTTATCAGCTGCAGAGGGTCTGATCTCCTATGCCATCCAGAAAGGTCACCTTTCGCCCAAGTATATTCAGCCACTTCTTCTGAAAGAAGAGACTTGCCTGGACCCTCAACACCCAGTGATGCCCAGGAAAGGTAAGACCCTCCATGACATGTCTCCCTCCTCCTTGTCACCACCCAGCCATGTTTGGGAGTGCTTTTTCCTGTTAGACCCTATTGGGATTCTGGGACCAAGAATAAGTCATGCCTACTTTGAGATCTGGAAAATTCTGACAGGGCATCTTCCTGGCCTCCTCTCTATCCCATCAGAATGATATAGCCATGGACTTATTCTTAAAACAAAGACATATATACACAGATTTCCACTCAATCAAGAAATATTTACTGCATAGCAGGCACTGTTCTAAGTACTGAGCACACAGCTGTGAACAAAACAGATGAAACTCTTCACCTTCAGGAAGCTTGCACTTCAGTGAGAAAAGACAGAAAATGAACAAAATAACAAATAAATACATATGATGTTAGATGGCATAAAGGCTATGGAGAAAAAATAGAGTGGGAATGCAGTGGGATTAACATGTATACACATTTGTGTCTATTATACGGGGACATGAAGACTTACATAAACTTACATACCTTTCTAAACGCAAAAACCTGCTCTGGCCACAGCATGGCCACAGCTCGGAGAAAAGCTCGTGCTCACAGATGATGCTGACATCAGAGTGCATATAACAAAAAGCTGAGTAATGAAAGTAAAGCATTATTTTGAAGCGAATAAGCAGCAACCTAAAACCAGTCAAATTAATAAGCACTTCTGCTAGTGTGGACCTTTTCTTGGGAACAATGATATTTTTAGGATTAGCTTTTTAAAATTGTGAATCGCTAAATAAAATATTTCTTGCTTTTGGACAGGCACTATCTTCAATAATGATAATTCCTTAATATTTGTACAATTCTTTCTAGATTTTAAGTTTTTTCCAAATATGTGTGATCAGTTCAGAGAGTCCACTGACTTTCCATGTAGTGGCCCTGATACAGAAGCACACATACTTGCATATGTATTTGCAATGCACGGTCTTTTGAAGACAATGACCATGCCTCTGTATAACCCACAGTCCTCTCCCTTCTGCTTCTACACTGATTTCTATGGGTATCAGGCCTGTAGATTTTTGCCTCAGCCCCTTGGCTCCAGCCATCTGACTCAGAAACCCTCCATCTGGACTTCCCCAGGATCCCACAGCCGATCTTACATTAGGATGCACCCGTGGGTGCTGGAGGCCTAGGAGAGGCTGAGCAATAATTCAACCTGGAGTTGAGCGATTGCTCACAGGGAGGCAAAACCAAATTCTTATTCCCTTGACTTTTCATCTTACCACAGTTTGCCCCAACATCATCAAACGATCTGTTTGGGAAGCCAGAGAGACACACTGCCCTAAAATGAACCTCCCAGCCAAATACGTCATCATCATCCACACCGCTGGCACAAGCTGCACTGTATCCACAGACTGCCAGACTGTCGTCCGAAACATACAGTCCTTTCACATGGACACACGGAACTTTTGTGACATTGGATATCAGTAAGTGGGATCAACGCCAAGACAATGCCTCTTTTTCTTCAGAATTGTAGGAAGGAAGGCTGCGGGAGGGAATTGATGTTTCCTGAGGCTCTCCTTAGGAATGGGTGCTTTCCCTGAGGAATGTATTTTATTTTTGCAAGACTGGGCTGAGGATCACTCAGAGCATAGCTAATGGTCAGTTATCTCGCTTGGACGTATCTCCACAAGTGGTTGGGAAGATTCTGAAAAGAAAGAATTAGAAGCCTAGTGATAAAGCAAGACTGTGATATCCTCAGGGAAGGCCATGAAGGGTTATACCTTTTTAATGCAATCCTTTCTAACCTGTCAGAGACAAAGGCCTTGCTCACTACTACCTCAGTCTGCCCAGCTCCAAACTTGCTCTCTCTGATATTAGAATCCTGCTATTCTTCCGGTGTTACTTACCTCATTTTATAGGTGTAGGAACTTGTGACCTTTCTGGGCCTCTTTTATCTCATCTCTACAATAGGGACAATACTTTATCTGTTTGAATACAGGGGGTGAGATCAAAACATTCTCTTTTGGTTCCTTTAATGCCAGGTCTGTAATAAAGAAACACATTAAACTAATGGGGTAGAAGAAGCTATTTGGAAAATGTCTTGGAATTTTTAGAGTAGAATGTATTTCAATTATTCATCTGTGACTTAATCACAACAAATACTACAAAGTCTCAGGTAGACGTGCTTTTGCAAATGTGTTGTTCTGGGCCTACTGTCTCTCCTTTTAACTCCTGTTTTAAAAGCAGCCTTTGCAAGCAGGAGGGAACTCTTTTTTTTTTTTTTTTTTGAGACAGAGTCCTCGCTCCTGTTGCCCGGGCCGCCAGTGCCAAGTGGGCCGGATCTCACTCATTGCAAGCTCCGCTCCCACGTTTACGCCATTTCCCCTGCTCAGCCTCCCGAGTAGCTTGGGACTACGGGAGGCCCGCCCGCCTCGCCCGGCCTAGTTTTTTTTGTACTTTTTAGTAGAGACGGGGTTTCACCGTGTTAGCCAGGATGGTCTCGATCTCCTGACCTCGTGATCCACCCGTCTGGGCCTCCCAAAGTGCTGGGATTACAGGCTTGAGCCACTGCGCCCGGCCAGGAGGGAACTCTTGCTTCACTTTGCGGGATTTTCCAAAGGCTTTCTATGATTATTTAGTACAGGTAACAGGAAATTGACTATAAATCTGGAAATTCCACATGGAAAATGCCAGAAGTTGAGGGAATGTTTGTTCTCCTCTTTCACTTAGTCTTTAGAGACTCGATCCCCATTCCTTGACTTTTCAAAACCTGTTGCAATATCCTTCTGCTCCAGCCTCATGATATGTCATCTGTAACCCTGATGTGGACTGTAATCAGGACAAAGCATCCACTCACACATTATTTTCTAGCTTTTTAATCAATAGTTATTGGATAGCTACTGTATGCCTGGTGCTAGACAAGATATGTCAATCTAACAACACACAGAAAGAGATTCTCCAAAGATGATGAATTTGGCCAGGCACGGTGGCTCATGCCTAGAATCTCAGCACTTTAGGAGGCCGAGACGGAAGGATTGCTTGAGGTCAGGAGTTTGAGACCAGCCTGAGCAACATAAGGAGACCCCCATTTCTTCAAAAAAATAAAATAATTAGCTGGGTGTGGTGGCATGTATAGCTGTAGTCAGTCCTAGCTACTTGGAAGGCTGAAACAGGAGGATTGCTTGAGCCTAGTAGTTTGAGGCTGCAGTGAGTCATGGTTTTGCCACTGCCCTTCGGCCTGAGCAACAGAGTGAGACCCTGTCTCAAAAAAAAAAAAAAAAAGAAAATCAAAAACAAAAGCAAGAGAATAAAGATGAGTAGTTTATTTGGGAGTGCACAGGGAATTTGCAAATCTGGGATATGCATGCTACAGGAACCATAGGCATATCCAAAGAGGTTCAGGCTAGAGGAAGCTTTTAAAGGCAAAAGGGAAAAGTATACATCATTTGTTTTGAAATAAAGGGAACACTGGAGAACATTGGCGCTTATCACAGGAGGCAGGAGGTGACACCAGTTCGTTAGTGGAGACAGTGTGTTGGGCAAGTGTTCTTCATCACCAGATGTTCTTGTGGCTAGTAACAAGCTGCAGTTTCGAACGTTTTTTGGCAAAAGCTCTTGTTACAGGCTTGTGTGCATAAGAGTCCTTCAGAGTCTTTGCGCTAGTTCTTATTGTAGGCTTGTGTGCATGAGGGTCCACCGTTCTCAACCTCCTGGCTTTATTTATTTTTGTTAGAGTTTGACACAACTGACTCCATTTTGATTCTGACAACTTTCACTGATAGATATGAGAGAAGGAGGGCTAACAAGTAACTACAAGTCAAAGTGTTGAGCACTGTGATGGATGCAGAACAGGATAATGTATAGGATGAGCTTCTAATCAAGGCTTTGCAGGGAGTGACTGGGGTCTGAGAATAGCCTCTAGAGGGAGGAGTATCTTCATTAGGACAAGGATAAGGAGTGGGGTTTATTCAGGCAAAGAAGGAGGAAGAGTGTCTGGGTGAGGAGGAACAGCATTTGCCAGGGCCCAGGGTTCAGACAGAGCATTGCAAATAGATTTGAAAGAGTGGAGTGGTGAGCAGTAAGGGTGGGAGTGCCTGTGGGGGCCACATTGCAGAGGGCCTCATAGCGGACTCAGAGAGACTGATTTTATTTGAAAGGCAGCTGCAGACTATTTGGGAGGTCATGCCCTATGATAGGATTTGTATTTTAGAAAAATCACTCTGGGTGCTACTTTAAGAATGGATTGGAAGGAGGCAAAACTCTGGGCAGGAAGCTATTGCAGTGATCCAGTGACTTGGAGTGGGACCATGGCAGTCGGTCTAGAAAGAAGTGGAGGAATTTAGAAGTTGTGTAGGAGACACAATTGACAAGCCATGATTGGTGACCAGGTGGACTGAGTGAGAGGCTAGAAGGCATTCAGAGTGTTGTCCAGTTTTCTAGCTGGAGAAATTTTAGAAGAAGGCGAGTTTGCTTGCACTGTTTTTACAGGTAGTTCTTGAAGCTGTGGCAATGATTTTCCAGGGTGAATACGTTGAGTGAGAGAATGGCCTAGACCAGAGTGCAGAGGAGCACCATGTTTGAGGAAGGGAAGCGGGGTGGCAGAGGTGCCTGAGAGAGCAGCAGGGGAAGGGTGGAGTGAGTCATGGTTGTGGAAGGGTGCGACTGTGGAAGCCCAGGGAAGGGAACATTTTAAGAGAGTGGTCAACAGGGTCAATGTAGTCCAGAAGTAAAATAAGTGTCCATTGTACTGAGTGCCAGGAAGCCACTGCTCACCTTGGAGGGGTCAGATTTAGTGGTGTGGTGGGAACAAAGGCCAGGTTGAAGTGGATTGTGGTGTTTTTTTGTTTTGTTTTGTTTTCTGTCCTTGTCCACATTGGCACATAAGAGATCTCCAGTCAATATCTGGTGAATGGATGAAAGAATGGACGAATGGTTGAAGGAGTGAATGACGTATTTAAATTCTGTTTCCCAGAGTGACTGTCTTCATTTTCTTTTCCTGACTTAAGCTTCCTGGTGGGCCAGGATGGTGGCGTGTATGAAGGGGTTGGATGGCACGTCCAAGGCTCTCACACTTATGGATTCAATGATATTGCCCTAGGAATTGCCTTCATCGGCTACTTTGTAGGTAAGGGGTGAGCATGCAGTAGAGGGGTGCTGGGGGCTGAGGGACCAGGGGGCATGTCTGGGAAGCATGGCGGGAAAGGCAGTCCTGTAGTGTCTGGCAGTGTGAGTGGAACAGTTTAGCTTTAAAGTGGACTCTTAATACAGGATGTCACCAAGATCCCCTTTCAGACAGAGCATTTACCCCCAAATCCACCCATCCCCATGCCCAGCTCCACCTCGCTCTATATCCAAGGCAAACATGGAGCAAGGGGGGAAAAGTCTTTTGGAAACTTCAGTGCTTTTATCGCTCAGTTGGCAAATGGGTCCCCTTTCTTGGTAGTCATGGCAACAATTTGGGGAGCACCAATGTCTGTTATGGAAAACCAGTAGGCGTCTCTGTGGTGCTGTATCTGCTTTATACCTGCTCAGAAGTGGTGTATTGTGCTGCAGTTCTCTTCCAGAGCAGTTTTTTAACCTTCTGGAAGAAACTTTGGCATGGAGGAATCAGAGAAAGCTGTGACCTTGTTTTCTTTTTGTGCCTGATTGCCACAATTTGTGTAAATGTGTTGGCTATGGTGACTGTGGAATGGGGCAGGGGCGAGGGGAAGAAAGAAACTGGAATCTAGGTGCTTGTCCCTTCCCTAATCAAGAAAATTTGACCCCTAATGACTGATGGGGAAAATGTGTTTTGCAGAAAAGCCACCAAATGCTGCAGCACTGGAGGCGGCCCAGGACCTGATCCAGTGTGCCGTGGTTGAGGGGTACCTGACTCCAAACTACCTGCTGGTGGGCCACAGTGACGTGGTCAGCATCCTGTCCCCTGGGCAGGCTTTGTACAACATCATCAGCACCTGGCCTCATTTCAAGCACTGAAGGAGGCCCCACTCCCTCTGAGACTGCCCTCCCTCCCCTGCTGGGTCTCTCCAATCCTCACCAGACACCCTGGCTCAGCACCTTGTGTCCCCCTCCCCTGCCAGCCCATCCTTTCTCAGGTTTGAATGGTCATGCCCTTTCCTGCCAACATCCTCCAGGAGCCCCTAAACCTCGCAGCTGGGCATTCACAGCCCTCCTGGTCTGAGTTTAGACTTCCTCTCTCCTCACCTACTTCTCTCCTGGGCACCTACCTCTTCAGTCGGGTGAGACAAGGGGCTGGTCCTTGTGGCATTTCTCTCTCTCTCTCCCCAACCCCTGTCTTCTCTCTCTCTCTCTCTTTCTGTCTGCCTGGTGAGCCTTCCCTCTTGTCTGCCTGGAAGCTCCCAACCTTCACCCCTCAACCATGACCCAGGTCAGTGTGCCCACCCCTCCTCTCTGCTCACACATGGACTGGTACATATTTGGATGCAGCCCTTACTTAAGGGTGTAATTTTTTATAGATATGTCCGTCCTCTCCTCTGGGTTGTAAGTTTCTCCAAGGGAGGAATTCTATTTTATTCATCTCTGTCCTCAGTTCCTCAGCAGTGTTTGGAGTTTAGTAGGTTCTGCAGATGTTTGTTAAAGAAATGGATGAATAAATGAATGAATGGACCCTGGTCCCTGTTCACCTTGCCAATTTGCTTCAGAACTTCCCCTCTGGGGTAGCCGTCCTGGATGGTGTCCCCATCCCACCAACATTCTCTCCATTCCTGTCCCCTCCCAGTCCAAGGCTCAGAGCTGGCCCTGGTGGCCTGTCTGTAATGGTGACTGTATTGCTAGGGTCCTGCGTCCATGTCCCCCAAAAGCACCCTGAAGGCAGGGAGCATGTGCTTCCCTAGGGTCAGGCCAGGGCTGTGTCCACACAAGCTGCCCAGTGCCTGCCACTTGCCCTTGCCTGGCAGGGCCCCGCTGGGTGTTGGGCTTAGAAAGAGCCCAGAGCCCTGGTGCTCTGTAGCCCTCCCTACCTGGGCTCCTCTTGCCCAGAGGGAAGCTCCTTTTTTTCAGATGGGGGCGTGATGACGTATTGCTGTTTACTGGAAGCACCTGAGCTGGCTCTTGTTTTCACAGGTTTTGATCTGGAAACAAGGGAATGTGTTGACAAAAAGAGTCAAACTCTGTAAAATATTTGAAGAGATTTATTCTAAGCCAAATATGAGTGACCATGGCCTGTGACACAGCCCTAGTAGATCCTGAGAACATGTGCCCAACATGGTCAGGCTACAGTTTGGTTTTATATATTTTAGGGAGACATGAGACATCAATCGATACATGTGAGATGCATATTGTTTTCACTGGAAAGGTAGGACAACTCCAAGCAGGAGGTGGGTGGGCGGCGGGAGGGCGTCCAAGTTATAAGTGGATTCAAAGATTTTCTGATTGGCAATTGGTTGAAAGAGTTATTATCTAAAGACCTCGAACCAATAGAAAGGAATGTCTGGGTTAAGATGGGGGTTGTGGAGACCACAGTTTATCATGCACATGAAACCTCCAGGTCGCAGGCTGTAGAGCTCTCATCAGACCTAAAAGGTGCCAGACTCTTCTGTCAATTCTCTCCTGGATCAGGGAAAAGACCTGGAGAGGGAAGAGAATTCTCTATAGAATGGGAATTTTCCCCACAAGAGACAGCATTGCAGGGCCATTTCAAAATATGTCAAATAAGTATAGTTTGGGGTAAAATACTTCAATTTCTTTTAGGGCCTGCTACCTGTCATGTTGATATCTTTTTGCAACAGTCTGTTTGGTCAGTCTTAAGATCTCTGTTTTAAGGTTAATACTGGTCAGTTGTGCCTGAATCCCTAAGGGAGGAGGGTATAATGAGCCATGTCCGACCCCACTTCCCAACATGGCCTGAACTAGATTTTCAGGTTTCCTTTGGAATACCCTTGGCCAAGATGAGGGTTTGTCAGTCAGTTGGGGGGATTAGGAAGAAGGGGAGCCAGAAACATGGGCTTTCTTCCCCCTGTACATATTTTGAGTCCTGATGCTGTGTCTTTGCTTCTAGAGTGTTTCACATCTCTTACAAGGCAGGCTTTAACAGCCTAATCTGTATACAGTTCTGTGTGGTTTTTTTTTTTCTTTTTATATGGAGTCTCGCTGTGTCGCCCAGGTTGGAGTCTCCAGGTGGGCGCTCTCTGGCTAACTGCAAACTCCGCTCCTGGTTCACGCATTTCTGTCTCTCAGCCTCTAAGTAGCTGGGACTACAGGTGCCCGCACTACGCGGCTAATTTTTTTGTATTTTTAGTAGAGATGGTGGTTCACCATGTAGCCAGGGTGGTCGCGATTTCTCTGACCTCCGGTGATCCACCGCCTCGGCTCCCAAGTGCTGGGTTACAGGCTTGAGCCCTGCACCCGGCCAGCTCTTGCTTTTCAAAACAGTCCCTCGATCTCATTAGATTGATTCTGTCATTTGTCATTTGCCCTATGGGGTGGTTATGTAAGCAGGGAAGAATGGTTTGTCTAGAGGGTCACATAAACCCAGGGAGACTCAGACACCTTGCCCCATTTGTACAATAGAGGAAGGTGGCTCCAGGAAACTTGGTGTAGTGAAGGTCTTCCTCCGCGCAGTAAGAAGTGCACTCCTGCTGGCCCCTTTCTGGTGGAGGGGGGGGGTAGGAGTAGGCACAGGTTTCCCAGAGGACACCTTCCCCAGCAGCGGTGAGTTTTACACTCCCTCATGCAGGAAGTGAGCAAAGGGTAGGACTGAGATGCTGAGAAATGGTTTCAATGAGAAGGTATCCTTATAATTCTTGGCCTTCCTTACAATCCTCCATAAATAGAGGGTTTTTCCTTTTGATTTAAACACCATTCCCAGGCCTTACGGGACTCATTAACCTCCCTCCCAACCCCCATCCTTATGAACTGTTGGAGAGACTGTAGATCCCCATCTTTATCGCACTCATGAAAGTCCCCAAACAAATATTGGCTGGCCGTGGTCATGCCTTGTAATCCCAGCACTTTGGAGACGAGGTGGCGATCACCTGAGATCAGGAGTTCAAGCCAGCTGACCAGAAAAGTTGAAACTCCGTCTCTACTAAACACAACAAATTACCAGGTGTGGTGGCAGGCATTGTAGTCCCACCTACTCATAAGGCGGAGACAGGAGAATTGCTTGAACCCGAGAGGTGGAGGTTGCAGTGAGCTGATACTGCCATTGCACTCCAGACTGAGTGACAGGAAGACTCGGCCAACTAAAAAAACAAATCAAACAAAACAAAAACAAAACAAAATGCAATGGGGTTGATTTGTTTTTCCCAAAGTATCTACTTTATGTGATTAAACAGCATACTAAATAAATCAGGCACTCAACCGCAAATCTCTTTCTTTTCTTCTTTTTTTTTTTTTTCTGAGAAGACTCATTTTTGTTATTTCTAGTAGAGACGGCGTTTCACTATGTTGGCCAGGATGGTGTCGGACCTTGACCTTGTGATCACCATTCCTCGGGCCTCCCAACTGCTGGGTTACAGGCCTGAGCCACTGCGCGGCCCGACCAGCAAATAGCTCTGTTCAAGAAATGGCGTCTCCCACCGCAGGCGCCCATGGACTTGGCCCCGGCCTCGTAGTGTCTCTTTGCTGCCCGCGTGCCTTCTCCCTGCCGGCCTGGACTCCCCAAGGGTTGCACCTGCTCCCCTCACTCCCTCTCCTGGGCCAGCACATGGCCTGGCACACTGCTGGGGCCACCTAAGCGTCTGTAGGAGGAAAGCCAGGGTGGGTTGGGCAGAGGCAGTGTTTCCCTCAGCTGGTCTCAGACGCTTGTCGCAGAGTGGAAAATCCCAGTGTCCCCACAGCTGAGCCTCCGCAGATTTCTCACAGGGAACTCCCTCTTAATGCCAGGCCATCCTTGGCCCTTACCCTCTGGCGGCTTCCCCTCTGCTGGTGAGATTTGGAGGAGATATTCTGTCTTCTCCAGCACCAATGCCCTCCACCCCGCCTCTGTGGAGGTTCCTGTGACCCCTCACTGTGGTGGATGCAGCCTCTGGGGCTGGGGGTGGGTGGGGAGGAGTGGGGGGTGGGGAGTGGAGAGTGGGTGGCTGGGCGGGAGTCGCGGCTGCAGTTGCTCCCCTGGCGGTGGCTTTCTTCCGACTGGCTGACTTAGGAAAACCTTTCTTCCTGAGCTTCAACCACCCTTCCCCGTGCTTCCTGGGCTCTTCCTCTCCATGCTGTGGGCGTTTTTCTTTCCACCATTGTGTCTTGTGTCTGTCTGTGCCTCCCTCCCCTCCCTCTCAGCCTCTCTGTTCTTTTCTCTCACGCTGCCTCCCTGCCTGTCTCTTCATGCTCCTCGTTTTCTGTCTGTCTGCTCCTGTTCGTCCCTGTCTTTATTCTTTCTCTTCTCTTTCACCAACATGTAGAATATGGCAGTGTGAAAGGATTAGTGGGGGAAGCGGGTCTGAGACTCAGTACAGTAGACACCCACAAATTATCTCCATGCTGTGCCCTGAAAATCATCTCCACACCCTGCCCCAGGGCTGCGGGGGTGCTGGGAGTGGGAGGAGAGGGTCAGAAGGCCAGGGGCAGGGTGGCTCTGGGCAAGGTATGCATTTGGGAGCGAGACTGAGCACACCCAGTGTGTTTCTGGCCCAGCAGGTTCCATCGGGTGGGGCGTTAATTAGAGCCTGGCCCTGGAAAAGGGGAAGTTGTTATTAGGTGGAAGGACTGGTGGGCAGGGGTGGAGCTCCCAGGAGGTGTGGCAGGGATGTCTTGGGAACTTTCCATGGTAGGCTGGAGTAAGAATGTCCCCCCATGGGCGGAGAGCTGGGGCTCCCTCTCAGAGTGGCTGAGAGCCCTCTGGTACCCAAAAGTGAAACAGCTGCCTGTCTGGAAGGGGAGCTGGGGAGTTTCCTCTTCTCTCTTCAGTGCTCAGCTCATGTGCCACTTCATCTAAGAGTCTAGCTCTTGAGGTCCCCAAATTAGGATTTCCCTCTACTCTGTTCACTTGTAATTACTTATTTATGTGTTTTTCTCTCTGTGCGTGTATACATGTTTCAATCATCTGTGTTTCCCACTAGATTATAAGCTCTGTGAAAGCAGGAACCACCTTTAGCACACTGATGCTACATA